GTACCTTGCAGGGAGGTAGAAGTAAAATAAAAATAACAATAAATTAAAGTATAAATACATGGAAAATTTAAAGACATGCACAAAAACATTTAACTAAATAAAAGAAATGATCTAAACATAAATAAATAAAAAATATTTAAACTGATATAAAACAAATTTGAATATCTAGTTGAAAATAAAAAAACTAGTAATTCAGCATGGACAGCTATGCCCTCCATCTGTTTGTCTATTGATCACTACAAGCAGCCTTTGCCACTGTTGCTGTCAGATGAATAGAAAGGTTTATTGCACCAATCCAAACCAGTGATCTAAAATACTCGTTCCTCGTTCACAAATCAACCCTTAAAATGTTTAACCTTACAGATTCACTCTCTTGCTTGAAGTGCCCCTTTAGTAACTCCAACCCACACCTGTAGGGCGAACAAGTGTATTCCCCCCCCCCCCCCCAAAAAAAAAAAGAAGTGAGGTCAGTGCCAGGCTCTTCATGCCACTCTGCAGAGGAGAACAGCTCATTTAAAAGTGTGTCTGCATTAATCACAGCGCTGCATCAAAGTATGATAATCACCTGAACACTCTATTAAAATAAAAGTGCCAGCCCAGGGGAAATCTCACCTTGCTCTTTAATTGTTTTGAGTCATTGATAGGCTTTTTAATTTAAGATTAATTTATGCATTCTTAAATAACTCTACATATGATTAATAAGCTTGAAAATTAAAAGGAGAGCGAAGCAATTATAACAAGTGGTTGGTCATCACCTCATTAGACGGGATTAGAAAGATGCAGTTTGTGAGCGTTCATGTGTGTGTCTTGATTGGTGTGTGACCAAAAAAAAGAGAACAGTTGAAGGGTAAGAGGCACCGCAAAACGTGAGAAGACTTCTGGGAAAATCGCCGCAGGCTAATTACTCGGGATCTTTCCACTTTGCTGCCTTTTGTCACCGCCAGGAACCACGCATGGATGCAGGATTTGATCCTGAACGAGATCAGGCCGATGCAGGTGGTTCCACGGAGTCCACGAGTGAGCTGACGGAGAGTGCGACGAAAGAGAAAGATCAACTCTTTGAGAGGCCACCGGAGAGGGAGAAAAAAGAGTGAGACTTGCTAAGTGGTTGCTAATGTGTAAACAAGAAGTCACCCTCCCCTCCTCTTCTGCTCTGATGTTTATTTGTCTCCTAAAAGCCCACCCCTGGGTCTTGACCCCCCACATCATCCAGCACCGCTAAATGGAGCATTTCGTCTTGCAGGAGGCGGCGTGTGCGAGCGAGGAGTGGGGTTCATCACCGCATCAAATGAGGCTGCATGAGCACAGGGACCCTTTTGTCACAGACAGGGACTCATCTGCCAATGGTGAGCCGGGTGGTCCTGGGGGAGGGCAGGAACAAAGGTGCTAAAAGGCTGTGTGACAATGAGGCAGCTCCGAGGAGAGCCTTCAAGAGCGGGGACGCAGGCTGCCCGAGACAAGCTGTGTCAATC